TTATAGAATACTATGACCTGCACGAGCTCGTTCTGCTGACCTAGTGATGCCTCCGTTAAAGTTCTTAGCAACGTACTATTCTCTTGTTGAGTTTCATGTGGACTGCTGGAGTATCTTCTTCGCAGGACTTATCGCTTAGACTACTAGCAGTCTCTCTTTTTTTCTTAGTCGAGAGACGAAAATATTGGCCATGCGTGTAACTGAAGTCGAAAGACGGGAGAGCCACCCTTGTTTCTAGCGTCTCGCGCGCACTTGCAATCCCCTCACTAAATCTGAAAAAAAAAGAGAGACTGCTCACAGTCTACACAGGGTCGGCCAGGGTTTTGGCGTATAAGGTATACTGGGGCTTTTTAAATCGGGTATACGGTATATTGCAGCTTAAATACGGGTATTCGGTATATCACTTTCTTTGAATTTCAAGTATAAAGTATACCTGGGTATAATTTTGGGCATATTTGGATGAATTTTTGGTATTTTTTGGTATTTTGGCGATTTTTTTTCGGGTATACTGGTATACCACTACACCCCCTGGCTGACCCTGTCTACATGTGACCAGGAATTCGGCAAGAGAGAGCCTCTTTATACTAAGTCTAGTTTTGTTTTCACAAGCTGACATTCTTAAGGACAGCTAATACCTTGTAACTATCCCAGAACGAAGCATTGAAATAAGACAGCTGATGTACAAGACAAATCGATATCAGTGTATGAAGTAAACGAAAAAAATAAAACTGTGATAACTAAAGAAATACAGTGACACGTTCAATTGAATGCGGTTTTTTGCAAGAATGACCATTTTTCGCGCTCATTTGCGATTTTTCACTGTTTTGTTGTTAAAATTGTTGTTGATGTTGTTGTCATTGCTGTTGTTGTTGTTATTAATGATTAAGTCGAATGTGAGTTGCGGACGAAAATTGTGAAAAATCGCAAGGTCGACGCGTTGATTTACATAAACAAGGCAAGTATTCTCAGACAATTGTCTAAGAATGCACAGCTGAATGCAGCACACCTATACGCAATGATCCCCCTCCTTTTTTGGCTTCGAAACGGTAACTCTTGTAACATTGAAAAAATCCCAAAACCAGTCAGAGGCCGGGACGCAAACGGTTGTTTAACATCTACAAAAATATTCCGGGAAATCCGGTTCCCAACGTTGAATTTCTGGGAGCAACGGAACATCTGAAAAGGTAGTCCTGTTTTTCCGGAGGGAATATTCCAATCGGAAACTCGTTATCCATTTCTTCAAAGTCATATTTAATACCAGTTTCAGGCCTTCGCGGCCGTTTTGCGGTAAATGAAACTGATTTGTACAAATGGTAAACGCGATTCCAATTCCGGGACGAAATTTACAGTCCTGAACTTTGCGAACCATTTACCCAAACCGTGAACCGAAAGTATTGCTATTCATAATTGTACTGGAATTTCCCAGACTCATACTTATTCGCCACTATGCAAAAGAAAAATTGACTCGCGCAAAGGCGCTTGGGAAGAAGGTACACAGCGACCATTAATCAGCAGCGCGAATACAGAAAAGGACTGGGCACGAGTCTGGGAATTCCCACCTTCATTTGAATCACCATGCGTTCTTCGGCTCTGAGTTTGCTCTGAGTTGAAGGTAAAAGACCACGCTGGTCCATTCGCTGCGTCTTTTTCTACCTACCCTTTTAATAAGCCGAAGGGAAAGAAAGATACTTGGCACAAGAAATGTAAGTAATATTTTCAAGTATAATTTACAATGCTTGGCCATTAAATCACTGATTAAAATTCGCATATTCCATAAACACTTGCAAGTTATAAGCAAGTATGGACAGCAAATGCTATCAAGCATTATTAAGTTTATACTAATTTTTATGTTCCTTATTATAAAGTGTTACCTTCATTTACCCCAAAAATTAAATGGGTTTTGACACTACTGACACTATTTTTGGTTTTCAACCACGTGACAAGGCGGCCATGTTGGTGGTCAATGCAAAATGGTGTTTAGTTCTCAGAGGAGAGAAACGCTTTTGTTCTTAGTCACCAACATGGCCGCTGTGATGTCACATGCAAAAACAGCAATACATTGAGCTTAAAATGACAACAAAGGTTCCATTCTCGCCTTAGTGTTGTGCCATAGAAATAAGTGGCCAGGTATAGAGTACTAAAGTGATGACGTCATAAAAATGAAATTTCTGAAATTATGGGATTTGTCAAGATATTCTGAAAGAACAATGTCCAAGAGGCCTACTTGCCAAAAATGAGCATTTGGGGGCAAATTGTCTCCGAGATCGTAGCCCAGTTATACTCAGAAATCTCCATACAAACCCTTCTAATTTTTTTTTGGGTCGACCCAAAAAAAAATTAGAAGGGTTTGTATGGAGTTTTGTAAGCATAACTGGGCTACGATCTCAGCATCAATTTGCCCCCAAATGCTCATTTTTGGCAAGTAGGCCTCTTGGACATTGTTCTTTCACAATATCCTGACAAATCCCATAATTTCGGAAATTTCATTTTTATGACGTCACACTTTAGTACTCTATTGGCCTTTAACCATTAGTTTTGTTGAGGATCTTCCACAAACTCATTTCATTTCTTGACCATATGAGTCTACAGTGTAGTTCGGGCAGCTCTCTCTGTAGCCCTCTCAACCTCCTTTTCTACAGTGTACACTCATGTACACAGTGGGTTTTCAGTAACTTGGGAAATAATTCTGACCCGGCACAGGATTTGATACAGAAGCACCTTACAATTTAACGGAAAAACCCATTTACTATCCATTTACTAACATGGATAATCAAAGCTTTTAAACACTTTCCACATCCGTTTACTAGAAACTTGAATCTGTTAACGTTGTAGGCGGACCATTTAAAATTAGCATCCATTGAACAGTTTTTGGACGAAACATTTAAACAGTTAGCTTATCCACTTAACGTATTTATTCCATTAACCACCTTGGGCACTTATTAAATTTTTGGACCTTGGGAGTGGGCGCTTATTCGAGGCTGGGCGCTTATTACATTTTTTACCATTTAAGCAAGTGTAGCATGTTTATGATGATGCAACAAAACAGTAAAATGGTGGTAACAAAATGCGAAGATGTAACAAAGCAAGGTTTCTGTAAAATACACTGAAGAAAATTCCATCTTTGGGGAAGTCTCTTATTAGCACTTATTCAATTTTTTGAGGGTTGGGAGTGGAAGGGGGGTGGGGTGGGAGTGGGCGCTTATTTGAGTTTGACTGGGAATAGGAGTGGGGTGGGGTGGGTGATTATTTGAGCCTGGGTGCTTATTAACTTTTTCTGCCTTTAGGATGGGCGCTTATTTGAGGTGGGTGCTAATTTGAGGTTGGGCGCTTATTTGAATAAATACCGTAACAGCAACTAATGCATCGGTTTAACAGCATTTAGAGTCAAGAAAATGTGATATTTGCTTGTCGCTTGTCTGATTGATCTTTCGAGCAATAAATTCAACAAATGATTTATTTGCACTCTTTCTCCTTCACCGTCATCAGGATGAAACAAACTTTGTGCTTTCTGTGTGAAGTCCAATTACCTATAAGAGTCAGTCTTATAGCTGCCAAACGTGACTGCTTATTCTTGTAAGAAAGTGTTGTATGGAACTGTTTAAAACAAACATTTATCATGACAACATTTTATTGTGAAGTCATATTTTCGTTACATCCATGTTGTGTTTGACAAAACCGGTAAGAACTGGGAACCTATGTAAAAAAATTCCATCGATCTTAGTACAATCATGTCATAAATTATTGCTATATATCGTCAAGGAATTCACAAGCTTTGACGTTTTGTCCATTTTCTGTATTCCTCCAAGAAATCTATTGTATTAATTATTGTTGGGGCACTGCATGCGTCCTCGAATGTTCTTAATTCAGCTCATAACATACATGTGTGTATGCTAGCTTTCTAAAAAGAAATAAACAGAGATGGCAAAGTGTCAATTAAATACTGGATACAAATCAAGTTTTATCATAAGAAGTGTCCTTTCTTGTTTGTGTACCATCCTTAAAGAAGTCAAGACTAGAAGCCGTTAATATATTGCGTGATCTGTCCTCAATTCTTGCCATACCTCTGGTAACAATTTTTCATGCTGAGCCCACTATACAGTATAATGGGTACTATGCAGAATTTAAAAACTTGTACAACTCTCTATATGGTTTACTTTTGACAACTCCTTGACTCTGAGTATTAAATGATAGTTTCAGAGTACTGGGTTATAAAATGCCAGGAATGCAGTTTTATTGGCATTTTCAGCAGTAAAACTGTGAAAGGTTTGAACCCAGGAGTCATTTCAAAACAGCAGCTTAACTGACAGACGACCAATAACATCGCAACATAATTGACCAATCAGATCAATAATCAGAGTATAATACCATCAACTGACGTGATACAACTCACTTTGACTCCGACGATGACTACCGCACAGGTTGTCGAAACGTCAGTCACTGTCAACAACAACAGTCCCATTCAGGACTACGTTCACCCAGACGATCAAAATCAACCTTTTGAAATTTTCAGCAGTTATAATAAAATTTTGCTTGATCTTCAGTCAGTGGGTAAGAGGTGCAGCAGTACCTCTATGTGGTACTGTCTTTTATATGCTGTACAAGGTTGTTGTAACTTTTGACTCTGTGCACAAAATCCTATAATGTTGCCATTCATAACCTCTTCAGCATTATCTTAACATGGTACTTAATTTTGTTTGTCCATATTTTGCAAAGAGAAACTTTAGTTTTCCTTAATTATGAGTTTAGGGTACCCTACTCTAACCAGAGAGCAGGCTGTCAATTATTGTGCATGGATTTCATATCCGTCCATGGGGTGAGGGGAGAGAAGTTAGTGGGGGTCGGGGAGTGAGTGGGGGGATGGGGGTGAGGGGGGTGTTGTTAACTCCCTTAATAAGCTACATATTAATGGGAATGTACAGGTACTGCTCCAATGGGTATGGTTTTTGCCTTCCTTTTAGTATTTCTCACCTGTAAGGAGGCGTGTCAGTGACAGTCATGCTTCAGGTGTAAATCTGGAGGCTTTCCATAGTCCTTGATCTCATCCTTGGAGCCTGAAGCTCTGCCATAGATATCAAGCGCTGAATGGTTTCTGGGTTCAGAGTGGCCTGTTCAAGCTGATTGGTAGCTACAAGCTAATAAAACAAAGATAAAACAATAATAAAATGAATACATGAGACTACATCATGGGGACTCAGGCCCTGTTGGGGTAAAATTTCGACAAGGGACATGGCCCTGAAATAGCACCATAAGACAGATGAAATGACAACAAATGACATGAAGATAGGTTGAAACTTTGACAGTAAAATACAACAAACTCTTTTGAAGTTCAGAAATTACAGGGACATACATAACTGTCTAGCAGACATATAATGACATCAAGACTATAGAAAGCTTACGACAGGTCGTCAATTTTGGCCTCACTTTCCTTTTGGGGGCAAAGGGTCACTCACCAATGCAAGGATGGCATCTGCCCCCCCGTGACTGAAGTATGCCTGGTATTTATCATCAAGCAATGATCACCATTAACATGATACAGGGTGATCTCAAAAAATTCCTTGTGTTATTTTTTTCCCTTTGGTACTATTTCTATTGGTTTTCAAATTTTGATTCATGTCAACTATCTGTTGGCATACCCACCCAATTTTCATAATCAATCAATCAATCAACTTTATTTGAACACGGTAAATGGCTCAGCAAGCTGGTTTCCAGACATGCCATGTGATAATTACAATTTATAAAAATTAGGACTAGTGATTAACTAACAATAATTAGCACAAGAATTGACAATTTTACCTGTTCCTATCGACTGTCATAAACGTAACTATCTAGCTTATATGGTAATCAAGACTAATAATAGCAGTAAAAAAAATAACAAATATAAATAAAAGAAAAATTTCATAATTTGAAATACAATATAACAGCAAGAAATGAGTATTAAAGAAATAAGATAAAAACGTAATAAAAAGTTATATCCTAAGATATGGCGAGTTTCCTTTGGGTAAAATCACAGGAGATTTTCTTGTTATATTTTCTCCAGGAGGTAACAAAAATCTCTGGGGCTCAAAAAAATAACCATTTGAACATGTCCCTCTTCATCTTGATCCCACTACTTACAGGGAGCAGTTGCAGGAGCAATGCAACCATAACCTCCACTCCTCCCTCCCTTCACCTCACCCCCCCTCCCCCCCAATACCCTACCTTTCTGCCAAGCATAACAGAGAAACATTGGGATACTCATGCTGACGTCACCTACTGATATTAATGTTCTAACCGGAAGCGTTAGTTCTTTTGTTTCACCCATCACATATTTGAATAACAAAAACAAGTTGTAAACAGTGATGGCTCCTACACTCTGCGAGCAGAGTTGCCTGTACAGAGTCTCCTTCGATCTTTCTTATCTAAGAAAATCAAAGGAGACTCTGTTCCCAGCGCATAAATAAACAGGAACTTGTAGGAACTGGGGCCATTACGGGAAATAGGAAACAGGACTAAAACTGAGGTTTCACTCTTCCTCTGTTAACGTTATTAATTAAATTAACCTTACTTATTGTTCCTTAACACGGGATGTCGCAAATAATCCCGCAAAGGTTAGAAAATATCATTTTACGCCATTTTCAAATACAACCTGTACCGAAACTTGTACGTGAGTTGAGAGATATTTCATGTCCTGTGTAATCAACCACGCAAAGACATCATGTCAACAAAACCCTCCTCTCGGGTCACCAAAATAATACCCCCTGTATTAAAACGCAAATCATAAATAAACTTCAGTAGATGTTGGCCACTTTATAGTATACCCCTGAGCTGTTCTTTGAATTTTATGATTTCATTTGTCGTTCCAATAGTGCATTTTATGGAAATCGTCGCAGGTTTCTGTTAATCACCATAATTAAAGACAAATGGCGGATCTAGATCATCTCCGTAACAAATCACTTACTTGAGCGAGCAGGCTAACGCGATATAAAAACGAAAGTCCACGTAAATATTGAATAAACATCTTTTCTAAGCGGGGGTCTCTACCGACGACAAATCCAGTAAAATTGCTTTGGTTTGACAAGTCCAAGTCCGTTTGCGACTATTCAGTTCGCCCTCTGCCCTGGAGGGCTGTCACTGTGTGAAAGGGAGAAGAGTTGAACATGAAGCTCATTTGCATTGTACGATCTCTTGGGACTCATTTTATTGAATTAAGGTCATCATGATGTATATACACCCTGAAGGACAAAAAGTTGATCAATATTTGTTTGCGGCGCCGTCAATATTCTGTCAAAAATATTGTCTTTTTTGGATACAATCTAAAGTAGAATTGTTTTTTTTTTAATTATTTTTTTATTTTATTTTTTTTAACTCTCTACACAAGAAACCCGTTTATTTATTTGTATGGGCCTCTTTTACCAGACCACAGGACACCCAAGGTTAATTCTGGGAGCTTTCATTTGATAACGGTGGTCACATTGGCCAACTACTTTATTCGTGGACCGCTCAAACACTCTAAGGGACCTGAGCTGACAAAACAACGAAAACACTTCCCTGTAGAACGACAGAGGTCCCGGAAAGCATCGCGCCCCAGAGAATACTTGGCTCAGTCCTCAGTAACTTTGTGTAAGAATATCCTTTCTCGATATTTCTCTTCATTGTTTTATCCAAAACAAAAAATGCTGTGGCCACCCACAAGTGGTAAATGTCATGTAGTCAAACCTGCATGATCGTCTTGGTTATCCTTTTTTTCCTCTGCAGCTAGTTTTTACCCTCCATTGGTTTGACCCAAATCAAGAGCTACAAGAAGTGTGTTTGCCTCTTGTAGGATTCTCATAGATCCTCCCTCTTGGGATATAAGCCATGCAGGTATGTTCCCAGGAGTAGTCCCCGGGCGTCCCTCACTGCGTTTTCCATATTCCTGTTGGACCTGTTGCAATACGTGACTTGACGAGAACGTGAAAATAAACAGGATGCTGTTTGCACCGTGACATTTCCCTCAGATCTCAATACCTCATTGAACGTCTCCTGTATTTCCCCGCTACCCCTTATAATGGACGCCGCCGGAGTCAAAGCGGATGCCGGAATCTGGTCAGATCTGGGATCAGACTGAAGTTATAATTAACCATAGAACAAGCGCACCCACCCCCCCCCCCCCCCCCCCCCCCACCCCATTTTTTTCTTCTATACATTTTTATTTTTTTTTAAAAACATACTTTCACCGTCTTTTTTCCATACATCGTCTATTTTCTTATTCTCTCCTCCTCTTCATTGTTTTGTCCTTTATCATAAAGCGGAGGCCGGGAGTTGGTCCAATCTCGGGACAAACCGAAGTTATAATTAACCAAATAACAAGCCCCCCCCCCCCCCCCCCCCCCCCCACCTCGCGCGCTTTTTTTGTCTTGGAAATTTGTTTATTTTCTTTAAAAAATGTCTCCAAATGTCTGTCTTCCAGAACTTAGCTAATTTCTAGACTCAAACGCCTTCAGAGTCCTTTAGTCATTAATAATATCTTAACTCCACAAACTTCGGCCCCACTTGCAGAATTTTCCGGATCCGGCCCTTCCCAAAACGGGAAGTTGAAGACGAGAAAACACAACCGGTCTATACAGACGAAACTGAGAAATGAAAATGGTATATATGTATGTTGTACAAACTGAAACAACAATCGACAACTTTGCACTCCGCTTTATGATGTGAGCAGTTCAGGCTAGAATTTTTTAAAAAACTGTGTTTTGTTGGACTTGAGAAGTAGACATCGGTCATTCGAACATTATGGCAGAACTGATCCGCGAATGGATTTGCCTAACTTTTTACTTTTATGTAACTAATAAAGAATGTACTCTAACATATATTCCAGAAAGTTAACAAGCTGAAAGACTTTTTAGTCTGGTTAACACGGATACCACTAAATTAAGGTCTTAAAATGGCATTCTTGGCATTCAGAACGAAGCTGACCTATTCGCCTTCATAGAGAGTTAACGAGAGATTAGAGGGTAAATTTGATACGAATATTGTTGTAATGTTGACGTGTGAATTAAGAAGGGAAGTCTATGTTATGTAAACCGTCGAAAACAAAGTATTGACGCAAGTATTGGAGCTATATAAATCGTGACGAAATGATATTGATATCAGACTCGGTTCGAAAGGTAGAAGAGATGGTTTCACTGGTTTGAACAAGTTGTTTCTTGTAGAAATTCCGTCGTGTACATCCCCAGGGCAAGCTTTTTCCGGTTCAAATTACTCACGAAGGTGCCTTGTGTAAAACATATTACACATAAGCTGTTTGTTTGTACAATGGCGGTTCAAACTAGCGTTTTAGCATCAAGCCTTTTGTTAGCTACTCTCCTTGGGTCGATTTGCCGTTCGGGATCAATAAGAAATAACTCGTCGAAACTGCCAGGTAAGAGGCGGTTATTTTATCAACTTCCTTTTCATATTATCGTTTAAGTCATTGCTTATCCGTTGCACACGATTTGTCCAATTATTGGCAACGTTTAAATCTTCAGTTGTTTAATTTAATAACATAAAGTAATATCGTGCGGTGGCGGTTTGTTCTCCATTCGATTGATTACGTCAGAAGGAGTAAAATGAACACTGAATGAAGGGATTCGATACGCGTATAGTGAACAAAGAGAAAAATGCAGCAAATTGTATGATCGCTTCAGATGACCTTTGTATTTCACAGTAGTTTGCCATCTTCAAGTTAACAAAACTGCACTTGAAATTCTTTTCGGTTCTCTGTCTACGCTTGTGTAGCCTGTGATTCTAAGTTTCGACTGAGTTGTTTTTAAAGATGCTAAACCTTGTCACTAGACCACAATTGACAAGATCATTTGTCCCTTTTAAAACTTTTATATAATTGTGTGAAGAAACTATGGTGTTGCCATTTAAATGAAGCCTCTTAGGGTGAACTTTTCTATGGTATAATTCATTTCTTTGGATTTTCCAAAAAGTAAATTTGATTTTTTTGTGAATTATTTGTTCTTCGGCTTCTAAAAGTAGTGAAAGGGCAACTTAGATCTCGCTGTACTGTTTTAAAGTATTGTCGTGACTCGAGAGAAGGCACTACCCAGCTTATTTTCAATTCATTGTGGCGATGAAAAATCCTGTAAATAATCAAACGAAAATAGCAAGACAGCTTTTTTTCCGTGCTCTGTTTTATGCTGTCCGAGGGACTTGTAACGTCTTAAGTCTACATAAAATCCTCTCAGTGGCTTTTCAAATTTTCTCTAATATTTTTAGAGCATCCAGTCATCATATTCTAGACAAAAAGAATAAAACTGAATTTGCTTTAGTTTAATTAAGCTTTTATATCTGAATTCAAATTTCGCACTAACCCTGGGTTATCTTAACCCAGCTTTGAACAACCCGGCCCAGAAATATACTGTTGATTATGCTTAGGCTCCTCAAAAAGGCGACGGTGGGGAAATCCCATTTTCTAGCCTACACTCTTTAAAGTTTTAGATCCCAGTTTTTTCATTCTATGTTCACCATGCCTTAGACTTAAGTCTATAACATTTAC